TCATTCCCCAGCTAAAGCTATTGAAGTGGAAAGGTGACACTAGGGGTCTAATAGCCCCTAATGTCACCTCAACCACTTCCGGACCGCAATACGTCTATAGACGGCGGCCCGTTAAAGTGGTTAAAACAAGAACACGGCTGCAGCAGCCATGTTCTTGGTACCGCTTCTAACAGCCAGTGATGGCTGTTAATGTACAAGCGATCCAGCGTCTGTACTGCCGCCGGATCGTTTGTACCGTGTCTTCTCCGGGCACCACTGTCCCCGTGCAATGATCAGAGAGAGAGCTTCCAGCCGCTGATTTCTCCTCCACTCGCTGGACCTGGAAGGACACGTGCGAAAACGACAATTGTGCTACACATGTTACATATTGCCGCGAACGTTGGAGTGAGAGCAATAATTCTAGCGCTGTAAATCACTGTTAGCACTAAACAGATGAGCGGTAAAAGCGTTTAAAATGTTCCCTATTGGAAATTTGGGGTATTGACTTTTTTTGCGGCTTCACGGGCGAACGCAATTATAAGGCTTGGCATGTTTGGTATCTATTTATCCAGCATGACCCCATCTTTTTTACTTTACCCAACAATTGAGTATTATGTTATGTCTCTGTGCACTAAATTTTAATTTAGTTTATTATTTCTTAAAAATACTTGTTTAACATTTGCACAAAAATCGTGCAACGTAAAAAATTGCAACTAGCATTTTTTTATTCTACAGGGCCTCTGCTTTTCTGAACATATATCATTGTTTGGGGGTCTGAAGCTGTTTTCTAGTCAAAAATGTATATTTTATCGTGTGCACAAATGGTAAGAAAATGCCCCGGACAGCAAGTGCTTAAAGAGAACCTGTCAACCCAAGGAGTAAACATTTTTTTAATTAAATTAAAAATACCAAAGAACATTAAAGTCCCCCGCTCCCCTGAACACGAAACGCCCCCTCAGAAAAAAACCTGTCTCCTAATTTTTTTAGCTGGCTCCTGGATTCAAATAAAATTTGTCAAGCCCTGGAGTAAGCAATTTCAAAACAGGAGGATAGCTTGTACAGGCTGACTGGAAGGCTGGAGTTCAGCTTTAAGTATATTAATGCTGTGTAAATGTAATGCGTCATTAAAGTAGTATTAAACTCTCAAGATTTGTTTTCAATAATGAACCCAGATCCAACAAATATACATTACCCATGGGAAAAAAAAGCTTTACATTTTCCCCAATTACTTACAATCATCAACAGTTGCTTCTAGGTCTCTCAGCTTCCGTGTACTTCCTGTCCAGTACAAGATCACAAGGGACAGAGCAGACTCCAGCAACTGTTCATCTACTTGCTTGGGGAGTGGGCAAGGGGGAAGGGAATAGCTTGATCTGCTCTGTTTGTGGAGACTCATAAGGGTGACTGCATAGCACTCTGCTTGAGAAAGGAGTCACTCTAAAACAGGAAGTCAAGACCAGTGCTCAGCGCACCAGCTGATTCTGCAGGGAACTAAAACTTTTAACCATCGAGGAGCAGCATCCATTGTAAGTGATGTCATCAGCATTTGAAATGGCTTAAAAACCTTTTGAATTTAATATCACGTTGATCTTTTTTTTTTAAATAATCTAGATTAAACAAATTTACATTGCCCAGCAAAAGTATTTCTTTACATTTTTGTCCAAACACTTCAAACACAATCAACATGTTTCCAAATAGCTGCATCCAGCTCTCTAAGCTCAGCCTTCCTGAATTTCCTGTCCAGTACAAGATTACAAGGGACAGCACAGTCTCCAGCAGCTGTCCATCCACTAGCTTGGAGAAGAGGTAGGAGGGAGGTGGAGTGGATTGCCTTGCTGTGTCTGTGTGTTTGTAGAGACACTGCTTCAACCACCAATGTGCATGTACTTCCTGAGACTCCTCTGTACGGATAGTATGAAAACCTACTGACTTGATGAAATCAATCTGCAGACAGGGTCCAACTCACCGAGTACAATCCAGTGTCGTTTATTCAGCCTTCACAATACAAAGGATGTGATTCCTTGTCGTTCTTAGAAATGGAAAAGACATTCCTATCTAGCCTTGAACAGGCTACATAGACCTTCTTAACTCAGTGAGGGTGAAGCCAGAATGGAAGTAGAGAAGAGAGGCTGGGAGAATGTAGTAGAAGAGTGTACCAATGTACAGAAAACAGCAGGGGTGAAATGGAAGATCCCAAAGTATGTAGAAATTAAGATGTAGCATTGCTAATTTACCACTGATTGGTAGGAAAAAGTGAGGCGGCCACAATGCAATGTAGTGCGTTCCGGCCAGAAGCGGACCACAACGCACTGCCTATGGTGTGAACTAACCCTAAGGGTCTTGTTTCTGGCAGTGGGGCTGCTTTTGCGCTTGGCATGCTTAGTTAATAATATTCTGTTGTGCTTTGTTTCACCTCACATTGCCTTTTATGAGTGCTGCACTTTCTTCTGGCAGATGGTGGTCTCCGATATTAGACCTGTATCGCCTAACTTTTTTTTTGTTTTTTCTTCCTTCTCTCCATCTGCATACTGCATTCATTCTGTAGTATTGGTATTTGCCATTCATTTCACCTGCTGCATCTCTGCATCTCATGGTATGTTCCCACAAACACTTTCATATAGTATTTTGCATAATTGTGATTGGGTTTCATCTGTGAAATTGATGCAGCTTTTTACCTTTTAAGATGTGTATCTACAAGCTTCCTGCAGCCACTGGAATGGCATTGGTGTTTTAGGACATTCACAATACTGTAGACATTGAAGCTGAGAAACACTGTGAAAGACATGGCTAATGCTTATACAACTAGCAGCACTGGAATGTGTCATGGGCCCACCAATCGTTTTGCTATTCACAATACACCTGTGCTTTTGCAAGGGGCAAACTCTTTATGGAAGTGTATCGGGGGCTGAAGATTGGAGTGCTTTAGACAAATTTGCACCAAGGTCATAATTCACATTACTCCTACAATTTGAATGGAAAACAGCCCATTAGAATGGTCTGAAATTAAACAAGTTCATCTTTTAATTTCAGGTTATATTAAAGCCATATTCTGTTTGCCAGCTTGAGAATGCTCAAGGGCCCGTTCACATCAGTTGCAGTGCGTTCCGGGCCCGATCCTGGCCAGAGCGCACTGCATCACATTGCGGCCAGCTCACTTTTTTTAGTGGGGCAGGAGGGGGCGTGGCGGGCCATTGAAGTGAATGGCACTGTAGCCACGCCCTCCGGCCGCAATGCGATCGGCCGCACATTCGCAGAACACTTTATGCGGCCGATCGCATTGCGGCCGAAGGACGTGGCTACGGTGCCATTCACTTCAATGGCCCGCCATGCCCTCTCCTGCCCCACTAAAAAGTGAACCGGCTGCAATGAGAGGCAGTGCGTTCTGGCAAGAATTGGGCCGGAACGCACTGCAACTGTTGTGAACGAGGCCTAAAGCCTATCTCCAGGAAAGGGAAAAAAAAACTTCCGTTGCAGTGGGCCTACCTCCGAACCTCAAGAGTTAAATGCGTGTTAAAGTCTAGGGTATGAGGAAAAGCAGTTTTACCTACCTAATACCAAATTCCCCAACAGTTGGTGCTCACCTTGCCTCCCCTACACTCCAGCTCGTAAACTGTCCCTGGGTGTATGCAGGGTGGTCCCTGCATTGTATTTAATGATATCAGCAGGTCTCTGACTGCCGGAACATAGAGGGCAAGAGGCTGTGGGTGTCGGTCTTGAAGCCTGCGGGAATTAGGTAAGTAAAAGGCCTTTACCTGGGTAACCTAGACCTAAATAGGCTTTTGACCCTTGTAGCGTCAAAGGATTTTTTTTTTCTAGGAGATAGATTTTAAAGCTTAAGCTCAGACATAAGTTTTTTTTTTTTGTTTTTGTTTTTTTTAATGGAGTGGGGAGTCTCTAGACCTCTATCAGCCTTTAAAGTCCATTTCGCCTTTGTAAGTGATTAGCATTTATAGGCTGTAACTGGCTGCCCCCCTCCCTGTGATTCTGTGTAACACGAGCACTAACACCAGCTCTGCCTTTACATACAATACACTGTCCTGGGGGCGTTGCCACTATGAATACTAATGAAAGGGGGGGGGGGGGAGAGTGTCAATTTACACAGAGCGCAGAGGCAGGCATTTTGAAAGGAGTTGGAGGGGACAGCTAACGGAAAAAAAAAAGGAAGCTTCTTTGTTCATATACAGGAACTGCATATGCCTGCTTCATGTTCACTCAGTGTACATTGCTGGCATATGTCTTTTTTTTTTTTTTTAATACCTCTGAAAAGGTGACAATGGGCTTTAAATACTGTCTGTTTCCCTGCTGGAAAGATTTTCACTTCCTGTTTTTGTCTGATGCCTGTCACTTACTCAGGAAGTGACGGCAGATTTTCCCAGTGGAGACATGAGCATTAATAAAAACCTGATAGGTTCTAACCTTTTCCCACTCTGCTATAATAATGTTTTTATTGCTGTTTGTAACGCCTTAATTTTTACCCACTTTCTGTTCTGAAATGCTAATGCAGACAATTTTCCTGAATGTGGACACAGACAGCAATAAAAAGTTGGCAGAAGGTCTAACCTTTCCACTCTTTATTCAAAACTAAAAAAAGATTTGGCTGGAGTTGGGCTGATGATTTTCAAGTTAAAGTTCCTTTCACTGGTAAACATGGCTATTTATTGTTGTTTATCCTGCTTGTTTACATGCACGTCAATTTTACATTCTTTTCCCCTGAACCACAAATGTTCCTACCCATGTTTGTTGCACCTTCCACATGCTTACATTGTGCATGCTAGGTCTTGTTGGTTTTTTTTATATATAAAACCTGGAGGAAAGGAAAAGCAATGTTTTGGGCCATTGTACATTGTACACAATCACACATTTGTTTTGATTGTCAGACTTTACCAGAGAGTATTGAATGGGCTGAATTAGACCTGATTGCTAACGACAAGGCAAGCATTGCTTTCCTTCAGGTTTTGTACATCAGAATGACTCTATAGATCCCATTTCCTAGTGCTAATTATCTGCCTCATTCCTTCTAGAACTCTGAGCTCTTCAATCTAACTTATGGATCCCTTGTTGCACAGTTGTGTAAGGACTATGAAAATGATGAAGATGTCAATAAGCAACTGGAGAAAATGTAAGTGTTTCAGTTGTGATTATTTCTTGTGCTTGTGATGCTTTGTATTGATCATTTAAAGTAGAACTCCAAACAAACAGCTAAATACACTGTTAATATAAAGATGTGTGTGTGTGTGTGTGTATGTATATATGGAAAATTGTTATCAATACTTACCATAATTTTCCTTTTCCGGCTCATCCTCATGTCAGCATACTACGGGTCTGCTCCACCCGGGTGGCTCCTCAGGACCACTCTTAGCAAGAAGATAAAAGAGGACAACCCCTCCAACAACTTGTTTAATGCAAAGCTAGTGACAGGATAGTAGGTAGGGAATGTATGCTGACATGAGGATGAGCCAGGAAAGGTAAATTACGGTAAGTATTGATAACAATTTTCCATATTTCTGGCTCACCTCATGACGGTATACTACAGGACGTAACAAGCAAAATCACAACAGGGTGGGAGAAAACAAGGCAATACATAAAAAAAATGAGAGACTAAAGATATGCTGCAAAATTCATGCACCGATGCCACATCCACTCTGTAAAGGCGAACAAAGGTGTTAAGGGAGCTCCATCTAGCAGTCTTGCATATGTCTTCAACTGAGATCTTTGCATGAGAAGCCCAAGACGTAGAAACTCCCCTTATCAAGTGAGCTCGCACATCCACCGGAGGAGAAAAACCCTTCCCCACTCAAGCCATTTTGATAAGCGGAGTACAGCTTAACCATGTCTAAAGGCAAACTGATCTTCGTTAGGATTTTCCAGTTTCCCCCGGAAAGCCAGTAAAATCACCTCCCAGTACACATGGAAGGCTGAAGCTACCGTGGATCGAGACTCTGGCGAGGACCTTAGATTCCCTTTTTTCTCTCAAGCCGGATGCAGTACAGTTCCTTGCAAAAGAGAGCAGAGAATTCCGGATAAGAGGCCGTGAGAGCTCGAACATGCGTCTCCGCCTATGAAAAAATCTCAGCCGCCAGTCGGAGAAGGGGAATGCTCCTGGTCCCGCCTTGCTGTAAGAGACTGCCGTCTTGTCCATGAGTACCTTGACCTGCTTGCCCCGAAGAAAATCTTGAAAAGCACAAAGGGCTTGAGATGCTCCCCTCAATTCTAGCCAGTTTGCTTAGCAAGGAACTGATTTCTCCCAACGTTCCTGGAACTGGTAACCCAGGCAACTGGCATCCCAAATAAGGATGATCCAATCTCTAGACTTGAGGGGCATCCCCGGGGATAGTAAAGACGACCCCATCCCTCACAACAGATCCTGAAAATTCACCCAAGGAAGAAGAATCCGCTTGCTCGGAGCCACGCAATTCCATTGATGCAGGAAATAGACTTGAAACCTTTGCATGTGCCACCTGACCCATGGAACAACCTGAATGCACAATGTCATCATACCCAAAAGAAAAATGCAGTGTCTGGCCAATAAAACAGTTGTTTTGGTAACCTGTTGAACGCATGCAGCGACTTCCGACGCTCCAGGAGCAAAGCTCTCTTGACGAGAATCTAGGGCAAGTCCTAGATACTCCATCCTCTGGGAAGGAAACATCTGACGTTTTTGGACATTCACCAGTCTACCAAACCGGTCCAACGTCCACAACACCTAATCCCGTGGATTTAAGAGAGTTAGACTTGAGTCTGCCAGAATCAAGATGTCGTCTAAGTAATGGAAAATTTTGATCCCCTAAGTCTGGAGGACTGCCACCACAGAGAGGATCATTTTGGAAAAAGTCCTTGGGCCGTAGAGAGACCAAATGACACAAAACTGGAATTTGAGATCGAAAATGGCAAAACAGAGAAACTTTTGATGAGAAGGAGTAATAGGCACAAGGATGTAGGCGTCTTCCAAATCGATAGAAATCATACAGTTGTTCTTTCCTACATTGGACATAATGGTCTAAACAGACTCCATCCAGACTGCCCTGATAAAGGCATTCAATTTATTCAGGTCCTAAACTGGACTGAACCCGCCAGAAGCCTTGGGGACAAGAAAAATCAGAGAGTAGAATCCTTGACCCCTTCTTCTATTGGAAACGCAACAATGGCCCCTTTGGAAAGCAACTCTTTTCCTTTTCGATAGACTCACTGGAATTGATTGATAGCAGGCAGTGAGCGGGTGCAATAGCCAGCCTGATTTTGGCTATTCTAAATTGCAGTAGCCAATAGCAGGCAGAATTTTATCCTTCAGGTCCTCCTCTGCTGATTGACAGCAGGCAGTGGGCGGGTGCAATAGCCAGCCTGCTATTGGCTATTGCAGTTTGAAATAGCCATTAGCAGGCTGGCTATTGCTCCCACACACTGCCTGATATGTTTACATTCAGTTGCCTCAGCAAGCAGCTGTCATTCCCCAGCTAAAGCTATTGAAGTGGAAAGGTGACACTAGGGGTCTAATAGCCCCTAATGTCACCTCAACCACTTCCGGACCGCAATACGTCTATAGACGGCGGCCCGTTAAAGTGGTTAAAACAAGAACACGGCTGCAGCAGCCATGTTCTTGGTACCGCTTTTAACAGCCAGTGATGGCTGTTAATGTACAAGCGATCCGGCGTCTGTACTGCCGCCGAATCGTTTGTACCGTGTCTTCTCCGGGCACTGCTGTCCCCGTGCAATGATCAGAGAGAGAGCTTCCAGCCGCTGATTTCTCCTCCACTCGCTGGACCTGGAAGTGATGTGTATCACATCACTTCCGGTGTCATTGTACACAGTCTCTGGCTCTTAGAGCCAGGAGATGAAGCTGGGGAAGCAGATCCCTGCTTCCTCAGCTTCTTTGGGGTCCCTAGGTGACATTAGGGGTCTGAAAGACCCATGATGTCTCCATAAAGAAGACCTGTCACACCCTAACTGCTATTACATAGGGGTGCTTGTTAAAAAAAAAATAAAGTGCTTTAAATGTTATAAAAATTAAAGTCACATAAAAGGAAAAAAAAATGCAAAAACATTTTTTTAAGTCGCCCGCCCCCCACGTGCACACACGTACACGTGCGAAAACGACAATTGCGCTACACATGTTACACATTGCCGCGAACGTTGGAGTGAGAGCAATAATTCTAGCTCTGTAAATCACTGTTAGCACTAAACTGATGAGCGGTAAAAGCGTTTAAAATGTTCCCTATTGGAAATTTGGGGTATTGACTTTTTTTGCGGCTTCACAGGCGAACGCAATTTTAAGGCTTGACATGTTTGGTATCTATTTATCCAGCATGACCCCATCTTCTTTTTTATTTTACCCAACAATTGAGTATTATGTTATGTTTCTGTGCACTAAATTTTAATTTAGTTTATTATTTCTTAAAAATACTTGTTTGATAAACATTTGTGCAAAAACCGTGCAACGTAAAAAATTGCAACTAGCATTTTTTTATTCTACAGGGCCTCTGCTTTCTGAACATATAACATTCAATTTATTCAGGTCCTAAACTGGACAACACGAGGAGAAGGAACTTGTTCTAACTCTTATCTGATAACCACTCTTAACAATGTTCTTGGCCCGCGATCTGAAATTTCTTTCACCCAGGTCCCCCAGAAGTGAACAGGTTTTGCCCCAATCGAAAAAGACTGGGTAGATACACCTTCAGAATGTCCTGTCAGAATATTTGCTGGACTGGTCGGCCTTAGACTTGACACTGCGCAAGAATGAACTCTACGTCCCCTTCCATTGAGGCATAGAAAACTGCTTTCCTGGTCTAAAGGACCTCGCATCACAGAACCTCTGGGAAGATTGGCCTAAACAAAAAGGCTGCTGCTTATCCCTACTGCTTTACAGAAGGAGACCTGATTTACCTGCGGCGTCATCAAGTGTTTTGCCAAACAAAGTTTTACTATTGTACGGGATTGTACACTGAGCTTGTTTGGAAGCAGCATCTGTGGCCCAGTGCCTCAACCACAAAGCTCTCTTTGCTGTGACCGAATGAGCCATCAAGCGAGAGGACAAACAAACTAAATCCACCGATGACTCTGCTACAAAATCTGCAGTCAAATTTAATTCATCCAGCTTTTTTGTAAAGATCCATGAGCGCTCCTGCTGGACACTAAAAAGATAGATATCCAATGGATTTGTAATTGTACTTCCTAGTTTAGCGTTTGTTTCCTGAGTCAGTTTACTAGACTTTGATAATGCCAATTCCCTGTGTAAAGGGAAGCCTGGATACCGGGGGGGTGACATAGAAAGCTGAATTGCTGAACCATGAACAAGATTTGGTTTGTTTGGGAATGTTCATATCCCCTGTCTGAGTTAGCATTGTGGAGAATGTGCGTGAATCAGAAATGTGACTGTACAGAATTACAAATCCTTCAGTTGCAACTGAAGACAAAGCTTCTGTTTTTTAGTTTTGGATAGAGAGAAGATGGATTAAAGCAACCTGTCTTTTTTTATTGCTGTCTGTATCTCTGTTAAAGTCACCCCCTCTTTTGTCCTGGTGGCTGTTATCACTGAAAGTGAAAGACTATCCCAAATTTTAGGTTGTCACTAGTACAGGAATGGATGGGAAATCTTCCATTGGGGATACTAGTTCTGGTGACTTTGCTGACCACCAAGGATTTCTGCTCACTTCCTGTTGTAGCCATTGGACAGGATTTGAATGAGAAATCACGCATTTAAAAACAAACAAAAAAAAAAGTGTTGGCTTTAGTGTTATGCAGGGAATAGATTTGTTTGTTTTTTGTTTCTTTTTCTCTTTTGATCCAGCTTAGAGAACTTTATTTTCACATTTAACTCTTCCGAGTTTCTTTTCAGGTTTTCGGACATCTGTATGTCCTATTCTATAAAATATAGCCAAACTTCATTTTTAAAGACTTGTTTTTTAGAAAGCTGCCATTTCCTCTTTTATGTTTTAGTCTCTTTCCTTCCTGTTTTTTTTTCTGTATTTCTCTTAGCACTGCCTGGTTACTAATATCCTACTAATAGTTATGAGGAGAATGTTGGTAACAGAATTAAACTTTTATTTATCGCTATACAAACAAGAAGATGATAAAGCCTTCTTGTGTGATGTTTCTAATTTTCTTCCTGGCAAGGGTTCCCCATGCTGCATATCCCTCGCATGGCACTTGTTTTGCACGAAGGCTTGATCTCTTAGCATAATTTTTCTGGGTGCATTTTTTTTAATTCATTTATTTACCAACTCTTCCATTAATTCCTGAATTATACTCTAATGGTCGGAATTTATCAAAACATATTGCCCATAACAACCAATCAGCTTCTCAGTTTGAGTTAAGCTTTGAAAATGAAAGAGAGAAGCTGATTGGTTGCCATGCACATCTGCTCTAGGTTCTGTCGGCTTCAGTTTTGATAAAGTCCCCCCAGATAGAGGGAATGTGGTCAGAAGTTTTGGTGTGCACTTATATTAAACCAGTATGAAAGTCTCAATTGTTTCTACATATATCTACTGCTAGCAAGCAGTAAATATATGCTCCAACATTTAAAAAAATTAAAAAGTTGCCAAATATGTAATAATTCACCTGTGTCTCAGGGGACCAGCTGATTCTGCAGGAAAAAAAGCAAAAGCTTTAAACCTCAAGAAACAGCATCCATTGTAAGTGATTTAATCAGCATTTGAAATAACTTAAAATTATGTTGACTATAATATCACTTTTATCATCACCTGCTCAGTTTCAGTTGCACAGTTTTCTGGCAGGTTTACTTTATAATGTGGGTTTCTGTGGTATTTTTTTTTATTTTTACACGTGCAAGTATAGCTCTTTTTTATAGAGTTCTTTTACTGTGCTGCACAGTTCTTTAGTATGCTATTAAGTAATCTCCTCTTCCTAAATTGTCTGACATCCTGTGTAGCCAGTAATTGGCTGTAATTGGCTATGCTAAATTTACTGTTTTTTTGAACATATGATCTTTGACTAGTTTATTGTCTTTTACTGCCCAGTATTTTCCAGTTCAGCCTTCTTTTTACATCTTTCTTATTCTGTCTGTGAAAAAAGTTCATCATGTACATTGGCATTTTCCTTGTGGAATAACATCAGGTGCAGAGACCGTGTGAAGCTGCTTTTCTATTGTACTGAAGTAGGTGTCTTAAAATACCCAAGAAACCGAAAGAAGGAAATGCAAAAAAGCAGATGTAACCACAGAAACCTACATGGAACGACTGTTGTAGCTCCCTCCTGAGCTGTTAGAACAGGTCAAGGCACTCTAATGACGTGTCTCCTTCAGGTCTTGCCAAACTTGGATTAACTGAGCATGCTAAAGCAGCATTCAAACAAATAGCCACTGTCCAGTTTTCCTATAGGAAATGCAAAGACAGACAAATATTTGTTATAAGCATTACTGTGCTTTTTCAGACATTTACTAGACATATTTCAGTTACTTGGTATTCAAGGTATCTGTGGTTAAAGGATATTGTTGTGTCCTACTGTTTCACTTATTGGGGTTTAATAAGGAGTTGCGCTAATATTGCGCAACATAAAAATTTGCAACTACCACCATTTTATTCTATAGGGTCTTGGCATTCAGAAAATATATAATGTTGGGGGGTTTTAAGTAATTTTCAGGCCTAAAATGTGGAATATAACACGTGTACAAAAAATGAAAAAAAGGCCTCAGTCATGAAGGGGTTAAAGATCTACTCCAGGCAATTAGCAAAAAACAATGATTGTTTAGCTAAGGTAATCCAAGAAACTGCACACAATTCATAAAATCAATTTAGATTCACTCGGGTGTGCAGCCAGTCCAGCCCACATTGTTTTGTCCACCACCCTAGAGGAGCTGTCATCTAGCCATACGAGCAGAGGATATTGTGCTATTGGAGGGTCCATGGGCAGTGGAGGTAGAGGTGTGAACATTGGAATGGAGTGCACAATAGTACCTGGGTGGGACTGACAATGTAGAGATGAGGCTGGGCTTGGTGTGAACCCAGTTTGCACATATTTGCCTGAACCCTCTCAAAACGCTGACTGACAACTTTACTGCCAACCCAATCAGTTGCAGAGAGGTGCATTCCCCGTCCCGCAGCTTATGTCACAAAGGCTGGGAACACCCTTGCTGCAACTGCCGCCACAGATTGCGTCAGGAGGTGGGAGTGGTGGTCACAATGTGAGCAGGCGAACTGGGTTCTCACCATGCCCAGCCTCATTTCTACTGACAAGGGCAGAGTGGAGAATGTCAGAAGACTTTAATATTCCAATTTTTATGGTTTACGTATAGTGCTTTGTAATTGTTTACTGAAAATTTATATTCTGCAGTACACTCATTTTTTTTGTATGTTTCTACTGTTCTGTGTTTTGCTTTTAGGGGATACAACATAGGTGTAAGGCTGATTGAAGATTTCTTAGCCCGTTCAACTGTTGGAAGATGTAATGACTTTCGAGAAACAGCAGATGTCATAGCGAAGGTATTTTCTATTTTATTACAAAAACTTTAAAGATAAAAGTCTCCCCTCCCACCAAAACTGATTTGTGTTTGTTAAGCATATACAGACTATTGATGAAACGTGCTGGCACACACTTAAAAGTGGAGTACAGGATTTGGGTGGACTATACCTTTTTTAATTTTACTATTGCTTGGCCCTAGTTAAAAATAAAACAGATGGATTTAATTCTGCTTACAGCAGTGGTTCTCAACCTGTGGGTCGCAACACACAGTTGAGGGGGTCCCCACGTGCCTTGTGCTGCTCTAGATAAGAGGCTCCTCAGCCTCCTCCTAGCGCAGCAGAGTCAGTTCTCCTAGATGGCGCTGCATCGGCCGGAGAGGATCAGAGAGGGGAGCAGGCAGGAGTGAGGGGAGGTGAGTGCGCCCACACAGATACTAGTATTGGTGCATTCCTAAATTTTACGGTTGGGGGTCACCACAACTTGCCAAATGTTACCAAGGGGTCCCGGCCCCAGAAAGGTTGAGAACCACTCTCCTACAGGCTAGTGCTGTTTTATTTTATTTCAGGCATGTAAAATGGATACATGGGGGGAAAAAAGACAAAATAAACACTCAAGTGAGACATATATTATGTAAAATGGCACACATGTAATTAAAGTACACATCTTTAATGAAAATTGTGTTGTACCAGTGTTCTGTGTTAGAGCCTTAACTTTGTTTTTTCTTTTATAGCACATACTGCATATACTAACCAGCAGTCACACACTGTTCTAGCTTACATTACTTTAGAATGTACTGTAAACACTTTCATAAGCATGTACTAGATTACATTACTATCCTTTGAGGGTAACCATACTGCTGATGCGGCCCCCGATGAATTTGAGTTTGCCACCCCTGCTATAGAATATCTACACTTGCATAATAGGTTGTCCCCTTGCTTAATTGATCACCATGGTTCTGGTACCCGGCAGCTTCTTGTGGCCTTGGAGAAATGAAGTACCCTAAAGCTAAGACAGATGGTTGGGTTATTTACAGGCTGATGTCTGTAAAGATAACTACAGTGTGTGTACCTTTTTATAATTGGCTGGAAGCTTGAAGAAACATGCTGACTTTACTTTGCAAGTTGGTTTTGCTGACTAACCTTCAAAGAGGAACTCTGGACAGAAATAATCTTGACTCTTGCAGTGGTGCTACCCTTGCCCTGCAAGGGTTAAGTGCTCATTTTTGCCTAGGGATGAAATAACAAATATACTCACTTGAACCTCAGAGCCGGTTGGCTGTTAGACTGGTCTTTGTCATCTCGCTCCTCCTCCGCTCCAGTGATGCAATGTCCCTCAGCATCCTCATGTCCAATACACTGTATTTAATGTGATGACTTACAGGACCTTTGACAGAAGCGGAAGGGGAGCAAGGCTGCAGGGCCCGGTCTAGCAGCCAGTCAGCTCCAAGGATCAGATAGGCATATCTTTGTTATTTTGTTCCCTAGGCAAAAAAGAGCACTTACCCCATGCAGTGTGGGTGTAGCCCCACTGCAACGGTTAAGATAATTTCTGCCCAGAGTTCTTCTTTAAAGTACAGGTAGCCTATGTAAGTGGCTGTCAGATTCATTAAACATTTATATTGTTCCCTGGAGTGTTAGGACTAATGGTCTGGCTTCAAATAACCATATTCTGTTTAAGTTACCATGGTGACCAGGAAGTGTCCTGCCATGTTTATAGAATCGGTTATGTCTGAAAGCCGTATGAATCATTATTATGGAAGGCATTCCGATTTACTCACAGGATCCCCTGCCTCAGTCTTGTAACAAGGAATGTATCACATGAAGCTGTAATAATTATTTTTCCATGTGCTAATAGTTCTGCCCCTCGGCTTCTTGTGAAAGTTGTTTGTGTAGCATTCTGTAGAGTACACGTGTCCTCCAAGGCTCCCCCTTACATCTCTTCCAATGACTTCATAACATACTGCTTTGCACATGCTATAGTTCTCCGCCAGATCAACAGGGGCTTAGTCTGTTTCCCATCATGCGGCATGTAGTTGTATGCCAGGAACTCTGGCAGCTTTCTCACAGACCAGAACATGTATTTACACTTGAAGCATTCTTCATTTTTAAAAGTCTTGCTGCTGTATAGTTCTTTGTCATCTTCCTCACTAGGTGTTTTAACTCCATACTTTTACTTGATTCTAAGTAGGTATACTTGAGTGTAGTTAAAAAATTATGTTGTACGTGTGTCTGCAGACCTCTTAGTAAATTGACCAAGCTTTAAAAAAAAAAAAGTGAGATTGGTGTTTTTATAAAAAATGTGATTGGTGCATTGCAAAGAGTTGCAAATCTATAATATACTGGCATTCAAAGATAGAGACCCTCAACCAGGAGTGTTGGATATAGGCAGGGGTCTCAGTGCCCCCGTTTATGCCATTTTTTTTTTCCCCTAAATGTCCCACAATGATCATGTCCTTCTCCAGCCTAGTGTCCATAGATCTTGTAGCACTCCTTACCGGAAATCCCAAAGTATTGATGGGTGCTAGAAATGACCACGGATGGCGCCGCACACAGTACAACTTTGAATAAAGTAGAGCTGCAGCTAACGATTATTTTCAAAATCGATTAGTTAGCCGATTATTAAGTTCGATTAATCGGATAAAAAATAAAATAATTTTTTTTTTAAATGGCTCCTGTGATAGGACTACTACCGTGTTTCCCCGAAAATAAGACCTACCCCGAAAATAAGACCTAGCACTATCTTCGGGGATTTCTGTTCAATAGTACATTATAGCTGGCGGTATTCTGCATTGCGATGTACAATGTGCTATTGCTGGGTGTTGTAGTCCTCACTTTTTCCATTTGAGAATTATGGAGGCCACTGTGCTCTTGAAAACCTTCAGTGCAGCAGAAATGTTTTTGTAGCCTTCCCCAGATCTGTGCCTTGCAATAATCCCGTCTCTGAGCTCTGCAGGTAGTTCCTTTTGACCTCATGGTTTTTGCTCTGATACAGTATGCATTGTCAGCTGTGAGGGCTCCTATAGAGAGGTGCGTGCCTTTCCAAATCATGTCCAATCAATGTAATTTACCACAGGTGGACTCCAATCAAGGTGTAGAAACATCTCGGCAACCATCAAGAGAAATAGGAGACACTTGAGCTAAATTGCATGCGTTGTTGCAAAGGGTCTAAATACTTATTCCAATGTGATATTTCAGTTTTTCCTTTTTCATACATTTGCAAACATTTCTAACATTCTGTTTCCACTCTGTCATTATGGGGTATTGAGTGTAGATTAATGAGAGGGAAAAAGGAATTTAAACAAGTGTATCAGGTTGCAACATAACACAATAAAAAAAAAAGTGAATGCACTGTATGTCCTGAATATTCTTATTGCACAGATCTGTAGATTTTTTTTTTTTCTGGCCTAGCTCTGTATGAATAAACATTTATTGATGGATAAACTGCAGCTAGGCTGTAACTGCCTTCTGTGTGTAGTAAAGGGAAATGTTTGGTTAGAATAAAGGTGATGGAATTATTATTTTTTTTATCCATAGGTCTGATCAATCGAATAGATATTTGTTTTAAAATGTTACTGGTGTGATATACAAACTGTCCATTAAAACAGGAGAAATTGTAAGAGATTTAAATACCTGTTAAGCAGTACAAATCAAGTCTAGTAAAAATTTAGTTTCTTCAAAACTTCCAAAGTTTCTTTTTCATGTATGTTATTACAGTAATTAGTTTGCCTTAGTAAAGCAGAGTTGTTAAAACAGTGTTCATTCTGTTTTAAATTGTCCTTTTGAATTTGATATGTGCAATTTGTAAGAAACATAGTTGGGCTAGGTATTTATATATTATTCCTCTGTGTTTGTACAGGTGGCATTTAAAATGTACCTTGGTATCACACCCACTATCACAAACTGGAGCCCAGCTGGTGATGAGTTCTCCCTCATTTTGGAAAACAATCCTCTTGTAGACTTTGTTGAACTGCCAGATAACCATTCCACACTTATCTACTCCAACATGCTTTGCGGAGTCCTGCGAGGAGCTCTAGAAATGGTAAGTGTCTCCTTCCGTAATTCTGTGCGTGCCAAGGATCCAGTCATTTACTGCAGAATCCTTTACCCTTTTGAGTACCAGTGTAACCCATATCTTCATTATCGGACCAAATTTTGATGCTTTTTTATGCACCGGTTTACTCAACAATTGCTTTTTAACCACATATTGTTACATAGTATTTGAGGTTGAATAAAGACACAGGCCCATCAAGTTCAACCCATTGTGTGTGTGCATGTGTTTTGCGTGTGTATGAGTCCATGTGTGATCCTGGTCTTAAGTGTACCTGTACCCCTGTATGTTATGATCTCTGAGGAAATCGTCCAAATGTTTTTTGAACGATTCAACACTCCCAGCTGAAATCACTGCTTATGGCACACCAAAATATATTTATTTGGTAATTGTGTGTGTGTGTTTGGAGACTCTTTCATTTTTTCTTTTTAATGTTTTTATTATATTTCACTTTTTTTTTGTTACATACTCCCCCTCCCCTTTTTTATTTTTATACTGTATACAACTATGTAATAGTAGGGACAGGTCCTCTCTATGGGGAACTACAAAGAGGCCCCACATCCTGGCTACTTTGCCAGAATTTTGACAGCTCTGACACTTCCACGTTCAGCCACAGCAGGAGATGATCAGGAACAGACAATGCCAATCTTTCCAGCCACTCTTCAACCTAAATGCCTCCACAGCAAGCCTGGGCTTGCAGAGGAGCCAGGTAAGCATGGGGACCGGGAGGCATGTAGAAGTAATAGGCTGCAGCAATACCTGAAAACAAACCACAACCTCTGTCACAACTTTGTTTTCCTCCCTTCACTGGCCTGACATAAAAGAGTTACTTCTCAGAGTGGTTACTGATCAAACCTTCCAGACCCCACACACAGTCTGCAGTTCCTTCCCAAGGATCAGAGTGCTCATTAGAGGGTGCTGCAGCTTTAAACATAAGACGTTAATTAACTCCATCCTGGCATGAAGTACATGCTCAGCGGATGTTAATTTACAGTAGTGTGTCGGCAAGGAGTTAAAAGAAACAGACTAATTGGTAACAGCTATGTAGTGCAAAATCGTAGTCATCACTAAGAACACAATACAAACATACAATCTCTCTTGTATTTTATACTGATTTTCTTTTCCCTCCTATAATGTCTGAATGGTTCACTCTGCCCCCATTCATAAATCTTTTGTCTGATTTAATCCTGAACATTCCTCGTGAATATCTTCTTTTTCACCTTAAGAATATCCTTTTACACTTTGCACATATGCTGTTGTAGATTTTCATTTAAATTATCAAGGTTCTGAGAGCTTTTGAGTTTACCAAATCTAGCATTCATTTGCTATATACTTAGCTTTAATTCCCCTAATTTCTGCTCTTTGAACCTAACAACCCCATCAATCTCAACAATATTTTTATTCCACTTTTTATTAAACTCAGTTGAATAAATAGTGTGTGGACTTTTTTTTAATTCACACCTCTTGGAAATCATTTGATTGCTGATGAAGTTTTGGAGTCTTCTCCAAATTCTATCCTCCTCATCTAACAGGCCTCATCCCCAAGCTATTGATGTTCATTTTGATTGCATTGACAATATCACCTTTCATATCCAAGTCAACGTTTTTGTATGGCCGTGAAATGTTATGTAGATTTTCTATTACAAATGGATTTTATTACAATGTTCGAGAGGTATTGATTAGGGATGCACATATACTTTTCGAGTACCAGTGCAGATACTTGGCATTTTCATGAGAACTATCAGGGTTGCAGCGGTTGCAGCTGGGACCTGGCTCTGGCGCTCCACCACTGTCCTGAAATCATTAGTCGATATTGTTTTAGAAAAACTGTCACATGACAATAAACAAAAATGTATCAGTACTCGTACTTGTAAGTACTCGGCAAGTACCAGTACTCGTACTCGCAAAACTGGTATCTGTGCAATCCTTTTATTTATATTTATAAAAACAAAATGGTACATTAAAACAGAGATGTACAAATCCCAGGAGCTCCGTGTGCTCCTTACAAATGACAGCTGCCTCCTAATTTTTTAATTTTTCTCTAGTCTAGTCTTGGAGCTCAAAAGTATCGGTACATGTACTCGTACTTGCACCGAGTACTGTACTTGGTATCTGTGCACCCCTAGTATTGATCAATACCTGTTTGTTGTAATCACAAAGGTGTTATGACGACAAAAAGGTATTCTGACTCCACTTCCCACACATTGAAATCAGATAATTATCGAGACCTTGTCACCACCCCATGCAAAATTGATCAAGCCAGCCTGCAAGTATGCCAGCATTTAAGTATGCTTCTCTAGTTAGACATTAGTTGGTGACAGAGTCTCTTTAAAAATGGTAGCCAGTCAACTAGCATTTTAAGAATGAAGTAAGCAATTGTAGCCCCCATATTTCTCTCAGCACGTGGGGGGGGGGGGGGGGAGGTGCATGTTGTTTGGGTTGTCCAATACACCCGGATTGATTTATTGATTGTAAATCAGAGTATACATTTATTTTTCTCCCCCATCCAACCTTAACTTAACTTTCTCACGTTTATCTTCTGTCTGTGTCTGCTTTTCTCAAACAACTTCTAAGAATTCCAATGAACATATATGTATAAATTCTCTTTCAGGTACAGATGGCAGTTGATGTCAAATTTGTTCAGGACACACTAAAGGGTGACAGTGTTACAGAAATCCGAATGAAGTTTATCCGAAGGATTGAGGACAACTTACCTGCAGGAGAGGAATGACGGCAGGAGCTACCTATCAATTGGCTTTGTTGCTCTCTGAGGGAAAGCATCATTTGTAGCCCACTCTCTGAAGTTTCTTCTTTTAGTTTGAGTTTGACACAAAAGTCTTAGACCAACATACTTGATTCTCTACAAATGTAAACAAAAATAATCAGGATTTTTTTTTTCATATCTCCTTGTGATACATTTTGGCACTTCCATTTACCATGTTCATAAAGACATATACAAAACTCCTAGAAGTATGTGATTCCTCAGCAGATTGCTGCAACATGTTCTGCAGTGTATACACTTTTTATGGCTAAGAGACCATGCACAATCCAATGCTGCATTGCTTTGATTGCTCTGTGCGGTGTGTGGTCTCTATAGGGATTCCCTAGAAAGCGATAGAGTATTTCCAGCTGTTGAAGGCTCTTGTTATAGCACATAGGGATTTCCAGCTTTTGGAAGATCCCTGTGTGACGGTGCAATCATATATTTCTCATTGAGAAAAGAAAGGAAGCATTAAATTGCACATGTGCTGCTTACGCTCATCACATTGTAGAGGGGGGGTTCAGGAAATTGCAGATGTTTCACCTGCAACCGATTTCATTTGGTAAGTCATCTTTATAGGGGAGGGAACAAACATACTATTCTAAATGTAATTACCAAATTATTTAAGGAGCAATTGTTTTTATTTCTGTGAATTACAAAGAACTTGACTCACCCATTCCCCAGTTTATGTCAAAGTGAAAAAGTAAAAACATAAAGCAATCTCACAGTGTTTATATTCAGCTGTCATACACTGCGATTCAAGAATGTGCCAGTGGTCTCTCTGTTTCTTCATGCATCTGTGGATCCATGTGAAGTTTCAAGAGTCTGGGAAGATCTCATGTGGCTTTACAAGTCCATTATAGCAAAATGGCATTCCATTACTGCAGTGACAACGTGGCACATGCTTTATTTACCTTTTTAATTTTCACGTATACAGTTGATCGAAAGCTATTATTATTGCCCTAAAACCCCATTTTGGCGTTGGGCTGGTTTTACAGAATGGGAGCAGGTCAGAAAGATATCTGTAGTTCCGCTTCTGATTTATATACTGAAAGCGTTGTTACGGTGTTAATTCTCTTCTTTTGTCAGTTTGCGTTTTACATAATTATTTGTCTAGTATATTTGGAATAAATAAATGTAAAACTGTGTTTTTGTTTTCATTTTATTTCCAACTATTCTGTTTGTTGTTTTTGTTACAGCGCTATTGGACAGGTTGCGTAATAAATAATTTTTACTTAATCAATGCAGCTTTATATATATACAATGAACGGGTTCATATTTGAAAATGGGTATAAAAAAATGTTAATGTCCTCATTTTCAGATTTGGGGTGACCTCTGGTAGCCAGTCAGGTGACCAAGGATAAGTCACTACTGCAGGGGAACATTTTTGCTCAAGCAGAACTGCTTTCAGACTTCCATGGCCATTCAATGGAGGCTGTATGACCTGCTCCTGGAGAGAGCCCGGATTGTTGTTAATACAGCAATAAGCATGGTTTTAGCACTTGTAAACATTCCCATATACTATGCTTTATAAATTTAGTAATAAAGGTGCACTGAATTGTGAGTATAAAAAAATATGGAATCATATACATTTCTAGCCAATAGATTTTTGCATGTTTTTTAGGCTATCCTTAACTGCTCTGCTAAAAATACTAGCCCCAAAATGACCTCTCCACTGGAGATGTATGTATGTATGTATGTATGATGGAATTCCGCAGACAGCCTCTTCAGTCAGGGAGACTGGAATATCAGGGAAAAGCGTGCAGTTAACAGATCGGTCATCTGTCTGCAGCTTTCACATGCCGTGTCTGTTCGGTTTACTTCTGGACTAAGGACTGTCTTCTGAGTACTGAAGGCTCATTGTCATTGCTCTATTGTGAGTACAATACTGGAATACTTTTTATAATTGCTTAATAAAGATATCCACACTAGGGGAGGCCTGTTTGTTTTGTGCTCTGCTAAAAATGCCTGTTTACAGAACTCAATAGCTGAAACTCCCAAAAGGAGTGACTTGTCTCCTTCCATCTCCTGCTCCCTACATACAGGCTATATGAAGATTCAGTTAGCGATAGTCTGATAGCTGACTCGCCCTTTAGAAATCCCCAAATGCTCTGTGAATTATGTGCCATGGAAGCACCCTGCTGTATTACATATTTGTTAGTAAAGATTGTATTTAAAAACGTTGAAAACATTTAGAAAGTGTCAAATAAAATTGACCCCCCACCCCCCAAACTATTGCAATTTCCTTTATAAACAAAACAGTGGTTACGCATGGTAGCCAAAATATTCCTAGCACTGATTCCATAGCTTCGTCCAGCAGTGTATTTCTTGCCTGTAAGTGCCAGATGGCAGTAAATAGAGTCTGGCACATACACTCTGTTCAAATAGGTATCACTGTAGAGGATAATGGGGGAATGTGCCAATTTTGATAACAGACTTTTAGCCATCTCTCTAGAGTGCATATCAGTGTCAGAAAACAGCATCATGCTGCAGAGATGGTCTTGCTCTCTGCGTGGAAGCAGTGCTCTCCTTGCAAAATAAAGTAAAACTTAGTAAGGGGGAAAGAAATCATAAGTAAAAATGCAGTTAACAGTTTACCACCGAATATTTAGATGGCTCTATCATGACCAGTTCTTTTTAGGTTCATGGATTAGTTTAAATTACTTTTACTGCTTCATGGAAGCATCATATGTGATGTAAGCATCATTGCCAAATATGCATCAGCACCAAAAATGAATTTGTGCAATTTATTGGTTTTTAAACTTCATTTGCCAAACATTTTGTTCCAATGCTAATGCACTAAAAACCACACTAATTTAGGGAAACCTGAATATGGTTATTTTCATAACTAACACATGAAATAGGAAAGTATGATTTTCAAATGAGGAGCTGTGAAAATTACTAAATATGTCCTGTTAACACTTTAGCTACTTTGCGTACTTTACCTATAGCCAAAAATAACAAGATAAAAATGAATATCTAATTGAAAAAAAATAAAATAAAGCAAACCCTTTTTGCTGCAATATTTACCTTCAGTCCAGACATTTCTCCTGCAGTACTCTTTTTCAGCCACTAGATGTCCTCGGTTGGATGGAAAGCCTCATTCAGTTCACTTCCTCTGAGCAAAGTACATTCTGGACCCACCCCAGCCTGTGAGTGGATAGTGAAAGGAAAGGCAGCACAGTGATGAGCTCATATTTCTGTCGCTCTCTTATCGGCATGCTTTTTTGTCAGGAAATGAACTGATAAGCTCCTTGTGCTGCTTCGTCCTCTAACACACCAGCCCTGCTGCACAGGGGCTGAAACTAGGTCAATTTCAGGTACTTGCATTGCATGCACTGCTTGCATTTAAGAGTATATTTAATGGCGTATTAATGATTAAAGAGATGGATTATTGTGTGTCTTTTTATATATGCTTAAAATTAAGCTTTGAAATACTGTTTTAGGACACTGAAGACTGATTTTAAGACAACTGGGTCATATGCAGATACCTTCTGGTGATTGAACACTGGCAAAATCAATCAGAACTGTTGACGAGCCCTCATGTAGCTTCCCACTCCCAGAAATCCTGTTTTCTACTAGTGTCCTGGGATGATGGGCAACTCCTCTTTAGTGGACTTTTTGGCTTATCTCTTTATTTCTTCTGAGTTTTTTTTGTTCTTTCAGGAATCTGGTTGCATTACAGCCAATGTGGCTGTCTACTTGCAGCTTACAGATCGGTGCCCCTCAGCATTGAGCTATAGTGACTGTACTTTGTAATGTGCTGAGCTAGCCACAGGGTGCTATACAGATCTATAGCCATGGTCCATCAACTGGTGGAGCCTTGACCTTGAAGGCTCACTCCCTCACCCAAAGGGGGTAATTTTTGGTCTCCCCACTACCTACAGGAAAAACGTCTGTTGGGTTGGTAAGCTGGGGTTTTGCCCCTTTTTTAGGTCTTTTGCTCTGGGTTCCAGAGCTTGTGACTCTCCTGCCCTACTGGGCTATGTGGAGCCTTATCATAATTTTTATCTTCCCGTTTTGGGGGTGCAAAGAGGCTGCAGCACTTTAAGACTACGGTTGTGGCTGCAAAACTTAAATTATGTTTTGCATTTTTACTGTTAAGGCTGCAGGACCATTTTATTTGTGCTGCATCAGTGAGGCAGCCTTGTTTTGTAGTTTCCTACTGTGGCTGGGAGTGCTGTTCCTCATGCACACCAGGCTTTTTGGAAGCTTGGGTGCCATCTTGATGTCTTGGTCACCTCATTACATCACTGCCCTGCTGCACAGCTTAAATAGCCAGACATTGCTTTCTGAAAGGCTGTGGGTACTTGCAGCTTTCAGTCTTGGGGTACAGGAAGGTTTTTCCCCTTCTTCTCTGCAATCTATACCCTGGGAAGCTCCCTCACTACATTACATGTTTCCCCCCAAGGACCCTAGTTTTGGGTAGAGTTGGTCTGTTTCCCCAATTCTGGTTGTTTCATTCCTTCTGTCCCTCCTTTAGAGACACCCCATTACTCCTGTCTAGGCAGAGATGAATTTTCCTGCTTAATGGTGTCAAATCTGCCCCCCCTTATTGTGTTCCTTCAGCAGTAAAACACTCTGGCACCTGTGGACATCAAGAATGCTTACCTGCACAATTCCCACTTTTTCCTCCTGTATCTCTAATTTGCAGTGGGGGAGTGGCATTTTCAGTTTACAGCGCTTCCTTTTGTCCTGTTCAGACACTTTTGGTGGGTCATCAACTTTTAGAAGTCTGTGTTGGATCTGACTCATTGCTTGAAGTATCACGGCCTATTCCAGGGTTTTTGCTTCCTCAGGAGCAGATTCAGTCTTTCCGTGCTCCTGTGTGGACCTGTTGATGCAAGGGTTGTTTCTCAATTCACTTCAGCGTGTGGGTACTAGGCCTAAAGGTGGCTTTGTTTGTGGTGGAGACTTCCCTTTGCTGACCTGGGAAGTACTTCTTCTGATGGATGCTTGCCTGTCAGGCTGGGGAGGAATTCAAGGGTCCTTGAGGGTTCAAGGGCCTTGGCCATCGAGAACAATTCATCAACATCCTGGAACTCAGAGCCATTCGGCTGTCCCTCAAGCGATGGATCCTTGAGCTGTGGAAGTACCCGACAAGGGTTCAGT